ACTCCTGCAATTACTTCAACTGGAAGAATTATTGACCTTAACAGAAGCAAGGAACAGGCTAAGTTTTAAAACTATAGCACACTACAGATGCCAACCTAATCAACTATTCTCCCAAGTAATTGAGGACAACATTTTAAATAAAACCGATGTCTCTAACACGATCGATCCACTGAAACCATCATATAAACGAGCTTCTTAAGACAGTTAAATCAACAGAACAGAATTATAACTTTGACTTTCGCTAACCATCCAACTCAATGATTCAACCTAGAATACCATTTACTAAATCTGCCCCTTTCATTCATCTCGTTGAAGTGGTAAAAGAAACCGACCACAATTTGACTGGTACAAACAATGCGCCGATCCGTAAGCGTTCAGAACGAAGAATTGCGGGAACAAAACTTCCATCTAATGCTCACAGACCGCTTAATTTAGTCAAACTCTCTGTGAAGAGAGTACTGCAGTACAAAGACTATATTTGTCAGAAGTTCTTGCGAGCAAAATTCAAAAATTGAATAATATATGCTCCCTTAAATGGTTTTTAAAATCCCAAAGCATTTTTGAGCAAAAAAAACGTCTGGACTGACGACTTGAAGAAATAGTAATAGGTATGCCGAAACATACTAGTGTAGCCAGAAATCCAAACGTTTCAGAATTCCGCAAAGGCACGTTAGCCAAATGGTGCTAAAACTTTGTATCAATCCAAAACGAAAAAAATCAGTGCTACAAATGATTAAGAATTTTCTTTATCTGATTCGACTTTCGCTTTGTTTTCGCTAACAAAACCAGCAAAGTCACCATTGTCATCTGCGTCCTCATAAAGTTTAAAGAACTCATGGTTATTCAAAGTTTTCAAATCTGCTCTTTCAGAAGTATTTTTCTTTACACAGAGCTCAACGAAATCAATGTATAGGTCGCTGAACACCTTACGCGGCAACGACGGTGGAGGCTGTAATAAATCGAATTATTAAATTAGCTTCATCCAATTTAAAACAAGTCAATTCACATCGCCCTTCGAAAAAAAAAAAAAAAAAAAAAGAAAAACAGACCTCCACCCTGATGTAGTTGAGGAGTTCAAATATGGCCATATTTTTCGGTTCAGTCGAAGCAGGTCCTGGTGGTGGTGCCTGTCCATTTCCCAAAACTATTTTATCAGGATCCACATCAAAAATTGCTTTATAATCATTTGCTGTCAATGCTGGAATCGGATAACGTCCAACAGAAATTTCAATCAGAGATAAGCCTAAACTCCAGACGTCCGACTTGATATCGTAGTAGCTGGTTGTAAGACGCTCAGGCTAAAAGAGAATTCTATGCAAAGAGAAATGATTAGAAAAAAAAAGCAAAAACAGAAAGAAAATTAATCTACAAAGATTCATCTGTTACCGCCATATATGATCTTGTGCCAACAAAACTATTTGCCATACTGTCTATTAAAACACCAGAAACACCAAAGTCGCACAGCTTTATTTCCCCCCTCGTGTTAACCAAAATGTTTGACGGCTTAACATCTAAAAAAAAAGATAAGCGAAAAAAATATAAAATTGGTTTTTTAATAAATTGAAAAGAAGTGAAAGAAAGTGTTGGCAAATAAAAGAACACATACCTCGATGTAAAATATTGTGTTCTTCTTTCAAATAAGCCAACCCCCTCACAACTGCAACAGCTATTCGTCCTACTCGAGGCTCAGTAATGCGTCCCGCCTGAAGGGCAGTCGATTAAATTTATCCCATTTGTTAGAATGAAAGTTAGGTTAAAAATTAAAGAGAAACGAAGCAAGCAGAACTTAAGTGATTGAGAATTGTCAGTTGCAACTAAGGTTGGCATAATAAAATTCAAAAAAAACCCGTCATCAAAACCTTTTTTAGCAATACGTCCAAGGAGAGACCATCCATATATTCCATGCAAATAGACAACTCACTATTAGCCAGAAAAGCACCATAAAAACCGACAATATAAGGACTGTTACAACGACGTAAGACGTCCAATTCCTTAAAAAATTGACAACCTGCTTTGAACAGGCACTTCTGTAATATAACAATAAAACTGTTCAATGAAGAAAACAATTGATACAGTACCGTACCTTCAAAATTCGAGTTTTTATTGATGCCTTGACTTCGAGGTGCACCAGTTTCCTAGCCATAATTACCTTTGTTGGCTTGTAAATTACTTTGTGAACTACACCGCCATTTCCATGACCCAAATCGCATATCTTATCTAACTTTTGTTCGTTCAGAGCATCTGTCGGCACCTATTACCAAAAAAGTTAAAGTAACTGAAAAAATATAAAAAAATGCAATTATAAGTTTTAATACGGCACAGGGATTATCATCGAATGACCAAGGATGGCGAGTCTGCGAATGGAAAGGAAATAGGTAATCAGTTTAGCAATTAATAAAAGCAGCACAGTGTAACATACTAGGTTCCTCTCTTTAATCCATTCTTGCATTCTCTGTTTCTGTGGTTCTGTAAGACCTAAACGCTTCAATTCTTCCTCAATAGCGACAGAACTGGCCTCTTCTGCCTCTTCTTCCTCCTGATTTTCATGTTCCTGGACAGTCCTTGGCAGACTTAAATTCAGCTTATTCCTTCGTCGACTCAGCATCCTACAGTAAGGAGATCCCAAAATACAGTTGGCAAATGTGCAAAACAAATAAATATCACCATTAAGGGTTATTAAATGAAATTAAATAAGCGTGAGAAAAAAACAACGTTTCTAACATTTGTTAATTCGCATCCGTAATCGACACATTTCGTACCTCAATAAAAAAAAAAAAAAAAAAAAAAAAAAAAAAAAAAA